ACTCAAGCAGAGACTGATTTGCACACAAGGAGAAGGAAGTAAACGAGAGGAGAAAATATCTGTGCAAGAAGTATTAGATCTGAGAACAGAAACAAAGATTTTATTAAGAATAAAAATCAGAAGTTTTAAAGGCAAGCATTACAAGTTTTTAGTGCAAGTAGAGGAAATCCTACTCTCAAATTGAAAATGTGTGCTCTTGGTTTCTGGCATACTCCCTGTCCTTCACGTAGCATTCAGACCGATTGCATTTATAGTTTATCTTTGAGAAAATTGGTGAGGGATTGGTTTGATCACACCATTATCTTCTTCAAAGCAATGTGCTTGATATCTAAAGTTGATAGATACTGAAATACACCACTATAATTCACTACTGTGACACCCCTATTGACTGGTTTAACAATATGAAAAGGTTATTATGCAACACAATTTAACTACAAATTTGCTTTTATGTGTAATTTGGGGATTCTGAAATTCAAATGAAATTCATTCTTTATTTTAATTCTTTCTCAATTCTTTTTCTATTTTTTTATTTTCCACAGGATTAACACTGTGGGACTGTGATGGCTTGGAAAAGGACAAAACAGAAAATTCACAACCAAACAGTGAGTTTGAGATAGTTGCTTCAGAATCCATTGAGGACAAAATTTCCGCCCTGAATGTTGAAGCCTCATTAAAGGCAAGTTTTTTGGGTGGACTGGTTAAAGTTGAAGGATCAGCAAAATACCTCAATGATCAGAGAACATCCAAGAATCAAGCCAGAGTAACCCTAAAATACAAAACCACAACAAAATTTCAAGCACTGTCAATGAATCATCTTGGAAGAGGCAACGTTAAACATCCATATGTTTTTGACCAAAAAATAGCAACACATGTGGTCGCGGGCATTCTATATGGAGCTCAAGCATTTTTTGTCTTTGAACAAGAAAAATCGGATACAGAAAGTCATCAAGACATCCAGGGCAACTTAAAAGTTATGATTGAGAAGATTCCATGTCTTTCTATTGAAGGTAAAGGTTCTTTAAATCTGGAAGATAAGGACATTGAAAAAATACGAAAGTTCTCTTGCAAATTCCATGGAGATTTTCTACTGGAGAAAACTCCAACAACCTTTCAGGATGCAGTAGAAGTCTACCAAAGCCTGCCCAAGTTGCTTGGTGCCAGTGGAGAAAATGCTGTACCAATCAAGGTCTGGCTGTTGCCTCTTACAATTTTAGATTCTTCTGCTGCTAAACTTGTTCGTGAGATAAGTGTAGGTTTAATTCAAGAAGTACAAGGTGTCCTGGAGGAGTTAGGTGAGCTGGAAATAAGGTGCAATGATGCAATAAGGAACATCACCACACAGCAGTTTCCACAGATAAGTAAAAAACTTAAACATTTTAAAAATATGTGCTCTGAGTTCAGGCTTGGATTTCAACAAACATTAGCAAAGAAACTTCCATCTATCCGAGGAGGAGGGGAGGAGGAATCTGAGCTTATAGAAGTTTTGAAGATGAAGATTTCTTCACCTTTCAATGGCAAAAACCTCAATCAGTGGATGGACTGTAAAGACAGAGAAATTTACATCCTTAAATCTTTTACCAGGAAAATGAAAAACACCAAAATCATCCCATCACAAAGTAGCCTTCATGAGGAGCTTTTTAGTGCAGACCATGCTTTGTGTTTTGTCTTCACATCACTGGAGAGACATGAACCATACCTCTCTGCAATGTTCAATTACCTCAAAGGAAGAACTGAGACAGATGAGTCCCATACTTATGATGTGGAAAAGGAACAGTGGTATCTCTCAAGGAGCTTGACAGATGAGATAAGAACAAAAGTAAAACTCTTTACGGATTTTGCAGAAGCCAACCAAGAGAACACAAACATAAAGTTCCTGGCTGTAGGTTTAACAGATAATAAACATGAAGGCTCAACCATTTACCTTTACAAAGACTGTTTCCCTATCAGTGAGAATTTTGAGCCTCCTTCAAAACCTGAAAGTGTGACAGCAGTTGACATAAACCATGCCAGTGTGACCCTGAACATTTCTCCACCCTTATTTGGAGCAAAGCACATCACCTCCTACTCTGTTGAGTACTGTGTGAGTGGAGAAAATGAATGGGAACAAAAAATAGAATCAATAACTGCAGAAATCACAGTGAGCCACCTGAAGCCAAACTCTGAGTACCTGTTCAGATGCAGAGCAGTAACCTACGCAGGGGTAGGACCAGCCAATTTAATCTCTAATCCAATTAAGACTCTACCCTGCAGTCCTCCTGAAAAATGTCAAGTTGAACCACAATCATCTGAGATTTTAGTAAGTTGGGAGAAACCTGCAAAGCTGGGGCCAGATGTTCAGATACTGAGCTACATTGTGGAATATGCAAACACAACTAATAGTTCAAATGTAGAAGATCTCCTTTGGAACCAAACAAGGTCAAGAAGTGAAAATGCCATAATTTCAGGACTTGACCATGAAACAGAATATGCAGTCAGGGTCAGATGTGACTGCGGTGGAGCTGGCAGAAGTAAAGAAAGCAAGATTGTTAAAGCTTGTACCACAAAGTCGAAATGTGTACTGCTTGTTGACTATCTGAAAAATATTAGCAAAAAAAAGTCTCAAGTCTCCAATTTCCCATCAGTTTATCAACTCCCCCTGAGACATGATGACGTAGACATAGATGGATGTACTAGGTATACGTTTGGTAAAGAAAGTCTAAGACCCAATCGCACCATTATGCTCCTAGGAGCAACCGGATCAGGGAAATCTGCCCTCATCGATGGGATGATCAACTACATTGTTGGTGTAGATTGGAAGGACAGTTTCAGATTTAAATTAATTAATGAGTATTCCTCAAGGTGCCAAGCCTACACACAGACCCAAGACGTCACTGTGTATCGAATCTACCACCAGGATGGGTTTAAAATCCCTTACTCTCTCACCGTTATAGATACGCCAGGCTTTGGAAATACCAGGGGTAAATCAACAGACCAGGAGATCACAAAAAAGATCCAAAGGATCTTTAGCTCAGCTGATGGAGTCACAGAGATAAATGCCATTGGCTTTGTTACTGAGGCCTGTCTGACATGTCTAACAGCAACACATAAATATGTGTTTAACTCAGTGCTATCCATTTTTGGTAAAGACATAGCAGAGAACCTCATCATGCTGGTCACTTTTTCAGATGGAAGAAAACCACAAGTTCTTCAACCATTAATGGCATTTGATGTTCCATGTCCCAAAGATGACTTTGGATTTCCGATTCATTTCAAGTTCAACAACTCTGCACTGTTTGCACATAATAAATGCCAAGAGCACAATGCTATGGATGATGAATCTGCTGAATATGAGGATATAAGCATCAGTGAAATGTTTTGGAAGATGGAGATGAAAAATATGAAGAAGTTATTCGCTGCCTTGGAGACAATGACATCTACAAGTCTGCTGATGAACAAGGAAGTTTTGAAACATTAAACAAGTTAAGAAAACAAAAGACAAGAAAGCCATCCTAATTTTGAATTAAAACCTCGATTCAAATAAATATTTCTGAATAATCCACAAAGAGCATGATCAGAGGGGGATGTATATTACTAACCATGAGAATTGTCCTGTCAGTGGATCACTTAATTATAAAACAATATTTGGATTATTTTTGCATTTGGACTGTGTAATTTAAATGAAATATGCAGGTAGGAATATACCTACCTACCTACCTACCTACCTACCTACCTACCGACCGACCGACCGACCGACCGACCGACCGACCGACCGACCGACCGACCGATAGATAGATAGATAGATAGATAGATATACTTGTGATATATCTAGATAGATATACTGTATTTTAATGTAATTTTACATGAGCAAGGGATTGCACATTGTATTGGCTGTGTATGTAATACAAAGTGTTTCTTGCATATTTACAACAATGGACATCAAGGTGTCACAGTCTTGGTTTTGTTATGTTTATTTAGAGTATTCAGTCTTACTTAATTTTTTCCTTGTTTTAGGGTCTAATTATTATTTTGTTGTTTTCTTGTTAGTTCCTGTCCTCCAGGTTTTCCATTTGTTGTCCTCTGCTGCCCTCTTGTGTCCTCTATTCCTAGCTCTGTTTTCTGCTCTGTCCCCCCTTGCTGTTTTCTCTTTTCTGCCAGCACCTGTTGCCAATTTCCTCGTCAGCTCTCTCTTTGTCCTGTCCCCTTTAAAAACCCTCCTTCTTCAGTTTTTGTTTGCTGGATCCTTGTCTTAAATCTCATCAAACCTCTGGTCAGTTCTCTGCCGTCCTTCCTTGTCTCTTCCTGGTTCTTAGTTTTGGTTTTTCCCTGATGTCTCCTAGATTCTGGTTCTGAAGATATTTTTGTTGGACTTTTTGACTCCTGCCTCTGAGCCTCTTTACCTCCTGCCTCAGAACCTGAAAACCCATTAAAACACTTAAATTCATCTCAACCAACTCATCTCTGCATTTGGGTCCTCTACCAACACCACCAAACCATGACACAAGGGGTTTAATAACAGAGAATAAGATAGTGGAAGAACTAAAAAGCCAGTGTAAAAAAGCTGCTCAAGAAAGGTTTACAACAGAACAACTGATTTTGAGGCAAGCGGAAGTGATCCCTCTCATGCATGACATAATGCTTTTTTAAATGGATCAGTCAGCCAGTTCTTTACTCATCTTTAAGAGATCGACCGAAGAAGCGCTAATGTGTGTGATACGTTGGGGCCCCTTGGTAATCTATTTGGGCATGTAAAACATTAAATGCATACGTGAGGAGTAGTTTACGGTTGTACGAAATAAAGCTGCTTGTAGGAGTATTTATTGTATTTTATGCACTTTTGGTAGAATCCTCGTGATATATGAATGACACAGCTGGTTGAATTGTTAGTTTCTTCACAATTCCTCTGCATTTTTTATATGTGTTTATGACTAGAAAGTTATTTTTGATGGTTAGTAAAGTTCTTAACATTTACTGTATGTTTAAAAATTTTTATTTCTTAATAAATATGCAATTGACTAAAACTGATTTTACATTTTTTGGGGTGAGTAAGGGGTAAAGACTGTAAAATCACAGCAAATGTATTCTTTTATGGTTGCACTGGAGCACAGTTATCCTTCCAACCAATTAATATGCTCCAGGTTTAAATTCACTGTCGACAAATGTCATCTATGTGAGCAAGAAGAGAAATGAAGTAAACATCTTTTTTTGTTATTGTAATAAAAACCAAACATTTTTATTCTCATTTCCTAACTGGTTTAATTTGTTAATCCTTAAACATAAGTTTTCTCTCCTTCTCAGCAATGACATTTGATATTAATGAACAAGATAAATAAATAGATTTTATAATTAATAATAAAATAAAAATGGTCAAAATTTTTCAAAATTCGTCTTACATTAACTCTCCCTACAATCATGGCATTTAAAAATGAAATAAATATATGCTCACTTTGTCCTTAAAGAAAATGTCTATCACCAGACTATGCTTTCCTGTCCAAATGTCATTCTTAATTACCCCTTACATTTTATATTCTTTTTCTTTTTCAGTGATTGTTCCTTGTCAATATTTATATCTTTATTTGATGATCTAATTCACAATGAAATAGATTTTCTTTTCTTTTTTTAGTTATCTTTTAGGTTTTTAATTGCTTAACTATTTTTTGTTGTTGAATATAAGGGATTTTGCAGATGTATTTTTATACATACATTGTTTAGATTTACGTATATCTTTCTATCCCTTCTATATTATTACATTTGCTTTATTATTTCATGCTCCTGGTGGTTATCACCTTTATTGCACTCCGTATTATCATGAGTGTAGTCTTTGTTCACTCTACAATGAATAAAGAAAAGAAATAAAAAGAAACAGCAGTGAGAAGTTTGGTATTAATTCTTTTCCTGCGTTTTATTTCAGCTATCACGGTTGCTAGGCAACAGAGCATACAGTCAGTGAAAGATAGGGAAGGCTGGAACAGTTTGAATCCACAGCCAAAACTCTTCCGGTCTCCTTATTCTCACAGACCACAAAAGATCCAGACCAGGTCCTTGGAGGATGCAGCCTCTGAAATCGAGCACACATGTTGTATTAACGCATAACCTGAGCAATTCAAATATATGCTCTGCTAGAGGCTTGACTGCCGCGCCTGCACCAGCATGTTCTAGGTAACAAGTACTGGCTGTTAGTTTTAATACAATGAGGTATGTTTAAGTTTTCGGGCAGCAAACATGTGTTTTGGTCTCCAAAAAGGCGGGGTGCCCAATATTTGACTCTGTCTTTTCCTCTGAAGATGTAGATTATATATCTTTATATTTCCACCATGGCATCTGTGTATTTGAGTCTCTGTCTGTTGTAGATCTATGTGTATCTAACTATTCTAAATTAATTCTACACTTCATATTACAATATAACAAGTCAGATATTTATTTAAGTTCTTCATATTATCTTTAGCAACACCCTTATTATGGATTAAACTACTTCTGGCATAAATTAATGTGGACATTAGGATACCTGTTTAGATGTAGTTCTCACAGCAATCCAGCAGATGTCACAACTCTAAACTGTATTAAGTCATTCTAGCATGCTGTCTAGTTTTGGCCAGTTATGTCAAATTGGTTCAGTGGTTCACAGGCCTTTACTATTAGCACCAGTTGCTTATCCAGTTATCCAAGCCTGTTTTATTAGTTTATTTTTTAATAAACTAATGATGTTGAAGCATGGTTGAAAATTTATATATATATAATAAGTAAATAAATTTTTTTAAAATAATTATATATATAGAGAGAGATTTTACAAAAGTATGGACACACCTTCTCATTCAAATAATTTTCTTTATTTTCATGTCTATGAAAATTGCAGTTTCACACTGAAGGCTTAAAAACTATGAATTAACACGTGTGGAATTATACACTTAACAAAAAAGTGTGAAACAATTGAAAATATGTCATATATTCTAGGTTCTTCAAAGTAGCCACCTTTTGCTTTGATTACTGCTTCACACACTCTTGGCATTCTCTTGATGAGCTTCCAGAGCTAGTGCCCTAAAATGGTTTTCACGTCACAGGTGTCCCCTGTCAGGTTCAATAAGTGGGATTTCTTGACTTATAAATGTGGTTGGGACCATCAGTTGTGTTGTGCAGAAGTCAGGTGGATACACAGCTGATAGTTCTACTGAATAGACTGTTAGAATTTGTATTATAGCAAGAAAAAAGCAGCTAAGTGATGAAAAACGAGCAGCCATCATTACTTTAAGAAATGAAGGTCAGTCAGTACGAAAAATTGGAGAACTTTGAAAGTGTTTCCAAGTGCAGTCGCAAAAACCATCAAGCGCCTCAAAGAAAGTGGCTCACATGAGGACCACCCCAGTAAAGGAAGACCAAGAGTCCTGCCTGCTGCGGTGGATAAGTTAATCTGAGTCACCAGCAGAAATCGCAGGTTAACAGCAGCTCAGATTAGAGACCAGGTCAATGCCACACAGAGTTCTAGCAGCAGACACATCTCTAGAACAACTTTTAGGAGGAGACTGTGTGAATCAGGCCTTCATGGTAAAATAGCTGCTAGGAAACCATTGCTAAGGACAGGCAACAAGCAGAAGAGACTAAAGAACACAAGGAATGAACATTAAACCAGTGGAAATCTGTGCTTTGGTCTGATGAGACAAAATTTGAGATCTTTGGTTCCAACCATCGTGTCTTTGTGTGACGCAGAAAAGGTGAATGGATGGACACATGCCTGGTTCCCATCGTGAAGCATAGAGGAGGAGGTGTGATGGTGCGGAAGGGGGTTTGCTGGTGACACTGTTGAGGATTTATTAAAAATTGAAGGCATACTGAATCAGCATGTCTACCACAGAATCTTGAAGCTGCATGCTATTCCATCCAGTTTGCCTTTAGTTGGACCATTATTTATATTTCAACTGGACAATGACCCCAAACACAGCAGGGCAGAGTCTCAGGTGGCCGGCCGAGGGGCCGGCGTCTCAGAAGCTGCAGGGGCCTTGGAGGAGGACGCCGTCTCTGCCTCAGCAGGAAGCACCGAGGAAGACGTCGTCTCTGGTTCTGCAGGAAGCACCGAGGAAGACGCCGTCTCTGCTGCTGCAGGAAGCACCGAGGAAGACGCCGTCTCTGCTTCAGCAGGAAGCTCCGAAGAGGACGCCCTCTCTGCTGCTGCAGCTCAGCAACAGGCTCCGACTTGGTCACCCACTGTGGCTCTGGAACAGGAACTGAGGAGGCCGTCGATTGCGGCTCCGCATCAGGAACTGAGGAGGCCGTCGATTGCGGCTCCGCATCAGGAACTGAGGAGGCCGTCGATTGTGGCTCCGCATCAGGAACACCGGAAGCCACCGACTGTAGCTTCACACCAGGAGCAGAGGACACCACCGATTGTGGCTCCACAGGGACAGAGGAGACCACCGATTGTGGCTCCACAGGGACAGAGGAGACCACCGATTGTGGCTCCACAGGAACACAGGAGGCTGCCAATTGCGGCTCCGGATCAGGAACAGATGAGGCCGACGATTGAGGCTCCACCCCAGGAGAACCGGAAGCCGCCGATTGCGGTTCCGAGTCAGGAACTGAAGAGGCCGCCCATTGCGGCTTCGCATCAGGAGCAGAGGAAACCACCGATTGTGGCTCCACAGGGACACAGGAGGCTGCCGATTGCGGCTCCGGATCAGGAACAGAAGAGGCCGCCCATTGCGGCTTCGCATCAGGAACACCGGAAGCCACCGACTGTAGCTTCACACCAGGAGCAGA